CCCCCATGGCAGCAGACAAAAAGGCTCCATAGTGAGCTCAGCCCTGCTTCAGCTGCCCCCAGGCCCTTGGGGTCTGGGCTGGTTTCAGTCCCTATTAGACAGGTTTTTAACTCTGCGTTCACCTCATTCTAATAAAGTTTCTTTACTTGCCTCATGGAATGCCATGACTGTTGTGAGTCCCTGTGCTTCCATGTCTCAGTGCTGAAATCCTGCATGGCATGGTGGTGAGCTGGTGCTGCCTGCCCTTGGGCAGAGGTGCTCTCTCTGTGCCCATGTGTCCCCAGCTGTGGTGCCAAGGGGCTGCAGGGCTTGGGGGCAATTTGTGCAGGCTGACAGTGTGCCAGGTGATGGGCAGGGACCCCGAGACCCACGGGTCACAGCACAGTGACATCCTCAGGAACAGAGCACCTCGGGTTTGGCCAGTGCTGTGTGGAGCCATGGTGCCCACAGCCTGTGTGAGGTGTCCAGCCCTCTGCTGTCCTGGCTGCCCTTGTGCTAATGCCTGGCTGAGCTGGGATTACAGGAGCACCAGGGTGGCAGGTCTGGGTGTGTGCCATGGGCAAGTGTCTCCCAGCAGAGGTGAAGCAGCCTGTGCTTTAACTACAGTAGGAGGAAGATAGAGGTGTCTTAAGGCTCAAAAATCAAGTTGGGGTGTTACTGTAGCCTCCAGCACAGCTCATGCTCTTATTACCAGCCTATGGCACAGTTCCCACCTACAAACTTGTCTTGTGAGCTCCTGTGGGTCAGTGTATCACACTTCTATTTAAGAGCCTCAATTGCCTGAATTTCTCTTGCTCTGCCCAGAGCAGGGCCCTTCTGAAGGTCATGCTGATTGTGTAAAGGGTTACATTCCTCCTGGGTGGGAGAAAGTAAGTGGAAGTAAAACTCTTTCTAAAGCGGATTTTGTTAATCTGCAACTGGCCTTGCCATTGCCCTCCAAGGCTCCTGGCCTTGCTTTGAGGCTTAAGCAAGAGCTGAGCAAACTGACTTCTCTTAAACTTCAGCCTCGACTGTGTTGATCCATCTTTAATGGAACTGGAACTCGTGTGCCCCCAGGGACAGAGTGGGGAATGTGGCCGCAGTAACTGAGCAGAGTTCACTGGGTTCTCGGATGGGGGTGGCTCACAGAGCACCATTCACCTGTGTGGCAATGTCCCCAGCAGCGCCAGGCAGGGGCTGTGTCCTCCCCCTCACCACCCATTGGGTGTGAAATGCAAAGCTCTCTTGCTTTGAGAGAGGCCGAATAATTTAATGGCTGGATTTAGCTTTGCAAAGAATCTACTTCCTAGTGGAAGTAAGAAATCCCTCTGGTGTCCGGAAAGCACAGCTTTTACTAGGGGAGGGGGAAGATTCAGCAATGCCATGGTTGTTGAGGCCACAGCTGGTGTCAGGGTGCTGAAGCTGCAGCCGAGGCTGGCAGTGCAGGGAGGCACCTGGCACAGGTGAGGGGCCCTGGCCACAGCTGCCCCTGCGGGGTTACTGATCCTCATGTGCACAGCACTGCAGTGCAGGTGCTGCTGTCCTCATGGCACTTGTCCCCTCCCGTGCCTGCTCTGGGAAGGAGCTGTGGCACTGGTGTGTGGAGACCCCAGGGGAACAAACCTGTTCTCACCGGGCTGCTGACCCCACACATGGTGTGTCCTGCATGTGCAAAACTTGGCTGTGCAGGTGTCCTCCCCGTGTGCTTGGCAGGAACTGCACTTCATGGGTTCAGCACCTTGTTTTATTACAAAGATAGGCTTTGCCAGGAGTCTGCCACTTCCACTACACAGCAGGTAAGGGCACTACACCCACAACACGTGCCAAAGTTTAAAAACATCTTACAAAGGGCTCGGAGGTTCAAGACAACACTACAAACCCTCTGCTAAAGTTGCTCCTTTAAATGGTTGTAGCAACGACCTTTTCTTCTTTTTTTTTTTTTTTTTTTTTGGCTTTGGAAAAATTAAATAATAAAACAATAGCCCCAATACATGGCCCAGCCACAGCACCTGGAGGCAAACTGTATTTACTCTTGGCTCACCTGTATCCTTTCTCTGTAACAAACAACATGGAGCTATAGCTCCATGGCCCTTTCCCTGCCTCCAGCCAAGCTCAACATTCTCTGCTACCTCGGTCCTTCTCACCCTGGCCTTTCCTCTGCTGGGCCTGCCTACATCTCTGGCAGCTATTCACAGTTTCTAAAAGACAAAAACATCAAGAAATTTTTGTGAAATCACTTTCAAAATAAAATGTAGCCCAGCTACATTCTTAGAGTTCCTATTCTGAAGCCACATCTTCAGCAAAGACATTGGGACCTCCACAGTGTACATACTTTTTCTGTATTCTCTTTAAAAAAAACTCTGTTCTCCCCCTTTCCCCCCTCTCCCTCCCCACCTTTTAACATACTGGATAAAGTCTACTGTTTGTTTTAAAATAGATATCTATGTACACATACACAACTCTGATGTTCTGGTTTCTGACAAATGTGGCATTACTGGAAATGATGGAATGGAGACCACCTGTCCATGGCAGTGAATCACCCAGGAGTTTTGGTGGACAAAGTCATCCAAGGCCAGACTGCATCCTAGCCAGCTGGATGACTAACAGAGGCTTCCCTTACACCCTCCTGCAGTGAGGTAGTAGCTGTGTTTCTTTCCTATATGGCAGTTCAAGCCGTGGTGGCCGCGGTGTCAGCCCTCTGGGCAGGGCCTTTGTTGGGCAGGAATGCTGGCTTGGAGCACGTGGTGCTGGCTGTGTCCAGCCTCCACTGGGGCTGTGTGACACGGGCCAGCAGAGCAGTCATAGCTCCCCAGGCTGCAGGGGGGAGAACAGGCTGCCAGGCTGGGCTGGCAGGGTGGCACTGGGGTGTCCAGTCTCAGGCAAGCTCCATTTGTCTGCTACTGGAACCCTCCCAGTGACCCCAGCCTGAGCTGGACACTCTCTACCTTGGTTTGCAGCTCTGGGTGCTGGAGATGCTCTGCTGGCCCGTGTCACTGCTGGGCTGACAGCAGCTGGGTGCAGTCCCTGTGCCCTTCAGGGCTGGAAACAGGCTGGCCATGCAGCCAAGCCCCACTGCCAGGTAGCAGCCACAGGGCTGAGCCCAAAGCAAGCAGAATAAGCTGCTTTAGGAGACACGTCTGCAGGACTGGCCTCATGCTTGGTGATGGTCACAGGGAGAGGCAGAGCCAATGCTGCCTGGTGTTTGCCCTGTGTGTGGCCTGAGGGCTGCCGTGGGTGCTGGCATGCCTGCTGCCATGGGTGGTGTTGCTGGGGCTGAGGTGGTGCAGTGCCATGGACACGTGTGGGGCTCAGTCCTTCCCCCAGCCAGTCCAGGAGCGTGCCTGTGGCCAGCTGGCTCCTGAGGAATGCTCCCTCCCCACCACACTCCAGCTCGCCGTGCAGGGCACACGAGAGCCCAGGAAAGGCAGAACAGCCCTTCTGCAAACACAACCTGTGCTCCCTGCAGCTCCCACACTCCCGTCTCCATTTGGGATAAAGTGCTTTCACCATGCCTTAGCTGCTTGGGAAGCAACTGCTTTGTCTCAGCCCCGAGTTCCCTGCTGTTGCCCAAGTCTCAGATGGAGGAGTGGTTATGTTTACACATACAGTACAAAAATTAAAAGGCACAAATATACACAGAATGCAGCAGATAGTGAACAGCTGATAAGAGTCCCTGGTGTTGGAAAAACAAGGATGTTGGAGGGATGGAGTGGGAGCTCGGGCCACGATGGTCTTTGTTGTCTGTGGTCATTGCTCCCTGAGGTGACCTTTCTGCTTTGTGTCTGTTGTTCCAGCCTCTGCAGCCCCGTCCTGAGGGACCACGCACAGGGATGCACGGAGTGCTGACCAAGGGGAAGTGGAGAACTGACCTTGCCACAAGGGCCATGCCTCCATTTCTGGCTGGCAACAGCAAATAAATTATGGGTGCCACAGTGCAGACCAGAGGAGTTTTAGCTGCTCAGAAAGGTGTCTTGTGGCTCCTTGTGAAGTGAGGCAAACTTTTAGCCATGGCCAGGCCCAACCTCTCCACAAGGCTGGTTTGAGTATGACCAAGGTATGCCTGCTGCTGAAGGCAGGTTCCCCTGTGGCACTGTGCTGCAAGAAAGGTCACTTCCAGGGCTGCAGCTGGCCTAGGCTTCACTGCAGGACTCATAGATGTTGTCCTCCATGAGTGCAATCACTTGCTCAAATTTGTGCTGGAGCTGGGTGCGCTTTGTCGTGGGGTTTGCGTCCAGGGCAGCCACAATCTGTGGAGACACAGGCAGGCATGGTGCTGAGGCAGTGTGGGGTGCCCACCTGCCAGCCCAGCTCCCCCCACCAGACCTATGGAGCCCAAATCCCAGCCAGAGCTCCAAAGGGGAGAGCCCACCCTGCCCCACAGCCCCTGTGCTCACACCCCTGTTCTCCTGAGGCCCCTGGTCAGGGCTAGGAGTGGAGTGGTATGTGACAAAGATCCACTGCTATAATAGAGCTGAGGGCACAGCACCAGCCCACAAGGCTGCAGGGGGCAGGAGCCAGCCAGGGCCATTGCCCCGATGTGGCAGGGACAGGCAGGGACAGCGGGTGCAAGTTATTTTGGGGGTGGACCTCATCTGCAGGTTTTGTTTGCTCTCCTGAAAGGGTCTATACATCTGGCAGCCGTTCTTCAGCCCAGCCAAATGCCATTAGGATGATCTGGGAAGAGCCAGCCTTCCCTTCCAAGGAGTTGACAGCCAAGGGACAGAGAGTAGGTGCATCTGCATCTATTACGTATGTACTGCAGGTATGCACACCCCGATAATCCCTGCTCTGTGGGACTGGATGCAGGTGCCCGTGGGGTTATTGCAGAGATGGTTCCTCCCTTCCCAGGCAGCCCAGAGCCCTTGAGCTGTAGAACCCACTCACCTGGGGGCGGTATCTCTTGGCATATTTGTATATCTCAGCCATGGCGACATTGGTGTTGAACTCATTTCGATATTTCTTTATAAAGAGAGAAAAGAGAGGGGAGAGTATCAGCAGGATGGAGCATGTGAGTTCCAGCCCAGCCAGCAGGCACTGACCACAGTGAAAGCAGATTGTGCCTGCCTTTCCTGTCATGTTGGTACAGCTGGATTTTTAGGGAAGCTGCATTTGCTTGCATCAGGATAGGTCTTGGTCTTTTCAAAGCCAGCTGTAAATACCTATGCTGGGCAGCACTGAATATCCCTGTGTGTCCAAAACTATTTCACAGGAGAGGACAGCACATCAGCTGCATTGCAGAATATCAACAGAAAAATCCTGCTTGGTGCCCAAAGCTAAAACACGCTGGGGAGAAGGTTTGATTTTGAGGAACATGCAGTGCATCGCTGGCAGGACTCTGATCTGGAATGTGGCTGCCAGCTCGTGTGGCTGGTACCAGGGCTGGCTGCCAGTGGCTGTCCCTGGCAGTTGTGCCTGGGAGCCAGCTGGCTGGGTGGCTGCGGGACTGCAGAAATCCTCGTCCAAACTTCCTGGCTTTTTGGCACTGAATTTTGCTCTCAATTCCCAGCAGTGCCAGAGCTAGTTAGGCTCAAGCAAACTCATGGGTGTTTACTGCAGCTCTGGCAGTAATTGAAGATGCTTGGAATTAGGTCAGATGAAGTTTGTGTGTGGAAGTTTCAGGCAAAATATCCTTTCCTGTGTGCTCCTTCCAGCACCTAAGCAGTAGCTGATGGCTACGTGCATTCCCTGCTGTGGCCAGGCTCCAGCAGGACGCTGAGCCTGCAGGCTCAAGCCCATCCCCTCCACCCCTTACCCGTGACTCCTCGGCCAGGTGGGCGTTCATCTCCTGCTCGCTCAGAGGGGGCATGTCGTGGATTTGCTTGTAGTATCTCTGCACTATCTTCCGGTACTCGGGGATCTCCTTGGCATACAGCAATTTGTTGGTCGGGGAGTCCTAGAGCGAGGGCGAGACACTGAACTCAGGCACTGGGCTGGTCCTGCCTGAAAATCTTATCCTGTTTGCCTGACCAGAGCACTGGCATCAGACAGGGACCTCAGCTACAGCTGGTGCAGGAAACAGCCGTGCCTTTGGTGCCAGCTGTGGCAGAGAGGAGTGCGGGGCCGGGCAGCTCCGAGGCACGGAACAGCTCGTGGCACAAGGGCTGAGACACATCCAGGATCTCTGGATGGGCACCATGTGCCTGTGTAGACACAGCACCATCCTGCTGCCCTTGCATGAGCTGAACATCCATCAGCTCAAGCTGGACAATTACAGGTTGAATTTCGTCAGTTGAAATGTTGCTTTTGGATTTTTCATGTAGCTTTGATTTATTTTGCATTGGCTAATCCAGCCTGCCTGGCCTAAATTGAGTGCACATAAAGTAATTAACAGAGAATACTGAATTCTCTTGATTAATGTCAGCTTGGACACAGCAGCCTTAACCTCCCAGTCACACAACTGAGTTGTACCAGTGGAGGCACAACCCTGCTGCCCTCCTTGCAAACACAGCATGAATAATTTTAACCTCAGGCAATCCTGCCCTCCTGATATCATTACCCCAGGAATGAACTTGGATGACTAGCCTGGTGTTGCATCCCCAAGGGGAACGGCCCCAGGCCTGGGGACACCAAAGGGAGTGAGATCACCAGGTCCTGCCACCCCAACACCGTGTGCAGGACTCTCCCCAGTGCTGACAGGTGGAGAGGGGAGGGGACCTGCTGAAGGGAGGCTGGTTCTGCCCACGGGCAGCACACTTGGCTCTGTCAGGCAGGAATAGGGGAGCCCGGGGTGACTCCAATCTGCTGCTGCAATCTGTAGCTTGGCTAATGCTGCAGGGGAAGCAGGAAACGGGCACCAGATCCCACAGCAGTTCATTTTCAAACCCAGTGACAAGGCATTATGAGAATATGGCCAACTTACACTGAGCCTGCTCATGGCATTATTTTTTTCCCCTTGGAAACACAAAGGAAAACCATGCTGCCTTTTTTCTAAGTTATTTTTTAATTTGTGTCTGATTTGTCTCTATTACGAAGTGATAGGTGCTGGTTTATTAACTGCTTGTGCACTGCAGATGTATGGACTGAGTCTGCTCTCACATTTGCAGTATCGAGAGCAACGTGCTGAAACCAAGGGAAGAATCCAGTCTGGAAAATGCTCAGTGAAACATTGCGTGTACATGCAAGCTGATTTTTATGCTGAGGATTTATTCTTCCCACATTACTCAACAATTCATTCACTTATACTATTGTATTCCAGAAAAGTGTTTCCATCTGCTGTCTGACTCCAGCTGACCCCTCTTCCCCTCATCTGCCACTTGACAAGGACAAATTGTAGGTGTTGCGTAACACATGCAAAAAAAAGACCAAAACCCAAACAAACAAAAAATCAAGTACTCATTAGATCTTCCTCCAGCATTAACCTCTCCCAACAAAGGCTTCCTGCAGCTCTGGGGCTGGGGGGCAGCGCCCACCCCCTCACTGCAGGGTGTCCCCCAAGTCACACACTGCCACCGCCAGCCTCTGGGTTGGGGGGGCAGGGGGGTGATTTACAGCATTTCTTAATAAAACTTATTTATGTCAGGAAGTTTCAAATGTCAGCACTGCGCTCAGCCAAGGCAGTGGGAGAAAAGGGAAAGAATAAGCACATGGGACATCTCCCTGCTGGCCAGCCCTGCGGGGCTGTGTGGGGCCTGGGGGTGGGACAGGGCACCTGGCTCATGCAGCCCTGGTGTGCCTGGGGCAGGCTCAGCTCCCACTGCTGTGCTGAGCCCACCAGCCCAACCCCACAATGGGCACGGCCACGCTGGGAGGGACACACATCCCCTGGCTGGGAGGGACACACATCCCCTGGCTGGGAGGGACACACATCCCCTGGCTGGGACCTACACACATCCCCTGGCTGGGACCTACACACATCCCCTGGGTGGGAGGGACACACATCCCCTGGCTGGGACCCACACACATCCCCTGGGTGGCATGGACACACATCCCCTGGCTGGGACCTACACACATCCCCTGGGTGGCATGGACATGCTGCACGGGAGGACAGCACCAACTGGGGCAGTGTTTGCTGATGGACAGTGACACTGGGATGGCCCTGGACAGCCTCACACCTCTAGGTGGGCCAGGCCTGGTCTGTGATCCCTGCACAGGTTCCATGTCCCGCCTAAGTCAACAGCAGAAAATATTTGTCTGCTTTAGCAGCAGCTCAGCTGGCTCAGGAAGCGTTTCAGACACGGTGCAGAGTCAGCAGGTGCTCTGCCATGGCTGCAGGACAGCTCCTGGAGCTGATGGACACCCTGAGCACACAGCCCAGTGCTCGGTGTCCTGCACCCTCTGAGCCCCAGCTGGGGACCCTGCCTTGTGCCCATCCTGCCTGGGACTGTGTCCCCACTCCCTGGCTACTGTTTGTGACAGAGGAGGTGCAGATTTCAAACTCAAGCCTGAGCAAACAGGTGGGGAAGGGAGGGAAAAACGCATCCCTGGAGACAACCAAAATGGAGGTGCATGAGGCCAAGCAATGGCTCCAGCCAGCCATGGAGGGAGGCTGGGCTGGGCTGGTGACCCCTGGCAGGCCCTGCCCTGCCCACCCAGACTGGCCCCTGCGTGGGGCTCCTGCTGGCTGTACCTTGCCCAGCTGCAGGTCGGAGAGCGAGCAGGCGTCGATGAAGGCCTGGGCAATCACAGACAGACAGGCGTCAATGTGGTCTGTCTTGTCAATGTCAAACACGAACTGCGGGTTTTTCAGGATGTTCACCCAAAACCTCAGCGGTAGGCTGCAAAGGGAAGGATCCAGGGACACACACGAGATGAGTTTTTATGTACCAGAGGGTGGGGGGAAATGCAGGAAAGACAGTGATAGAAAGGGCGTAGTAGAGAGGAAAGCTGAGGAGATGTGTTCTGCTCTTTAATCATCCCCAGTACCTCTGCCTTGATAGAGGGGCAGGGACACACCTTCACCCTCAGACATTTTTTCAGGCTGGGGGACGTGGCACATACAGCCTTCTCCAGGCACACACGTGCCCTGCTCCTCCAGCAGCTCAGGCCCAGAGGGGCACCAGCAGCTTTGCCCATGTGGGTCTGGTGAGTCAGGCTTCCCCACTTGCTGCTGTTTGGAGCAATGGTGTCATCTCCTTCTCCCTCTTTCCTGACACTAACCATCATCTGGTTCTGATAGTGAGCCTGGCCCCACAAAATGCATTTCATCTGTCTCTTTTTCTGTCCTCTCATAATTTTCTCCTTCAGTTATTTCACTGCTGATTTGGCCACAACACAGTCTATTGCTCACCCTTCCTGAGCAGCTGAGAGGTGAAAACCACTGAAAGTCTTTGCTCTATAGGCCAGTGAAGATAGTAAAAGGTAGGCAAATCTGTTGCCCAATGGTTGTATCTGCATGCCTGCTCTCCCAGTAAAATTTGGTTTTAATTTTCACACATTGGCCTGGAAACAGTTCCTTTCTCCACAGTCTCCAAAGTGCTGAGCCTCTCCTTGATGCTCTCTCCATTTAAATCCTCTGGTTTCTTTCCTGCACTATTTCCCCTTCACTTTGGCTCCTCCACCCCATTCCTGCTGCTTGTGTCCCTCAGCACCACTCCATCTGTTCCACTGTTGTGGTGCTCACCAGCACCACTGTCACAGCACCTGCCCCCAGAGTCTCCTGAATACCCTGGAGACTCAGCTTGGCTACAGACCTAAATCAGGAAAAATGCTACTAAAGGGCTGAAAAGGCAGAAAGCAAATGAAAAGGATCCAAATATGTTGGTTTTAAAATTTCCATGACGTTTTAAGACCTGACATAGTCTTGGACTCTGTCTCAGATCTCCAGTGCTTGCAGCTAACATCATTTGCTGTCTCCCATCATCCTATTTCTCCTTTCATTACTTGTGTGTGCCAGCTCTTTCTGCCCTTTGTCTGCCCATACCTCCTCTTTCAGCTCACTGCTTCCCTGGGCTTCATATTTGTTCAAAGCTCTCCAACCCTGTGTTTGGCTTCATCTTTCACAGCCCTCTCTGCCACCCTCCCTGTTTTCCAAGTCTCTCTTCTACTTTTAGCAACCTAATGATTAGTCCAGGACACCAGGGTTTTGCAGCTGCTGCTCCCAAGAGATGGAAGGAAGAAAAGAAGGATTTCCTTTTCCAAACCTGTTGGTCTTCCAGATGTGCAGAGTGTCAGGGTCTGTGATCCCTCTTTTCTCTGCCTGTTCCTCTAGGAAGTCAAAGAAATACTTCACAGCCACGGGCGGTTTGTCGTCTCGGATACTGAGAATGGCTTTGAACAAATCATCCAGGAACTTCTGGAGCGTGCCCTGCAAGACAAGGACACAGGGGACCCTGGGGAGAGCTGCAGCACCCAAGCCCAGGAGAGCAGCAGAGGGGCTGTGACTGCTGCACGATGGGGGACACCCTTTGCTGCCAGCTGGATAAGTCAGAAGAGAGAGGGGATGCCAAAGCAGGGAGGGAACAGTTTGTCTGGATAGTGATATAATAAAGTTGCATTTGGGGTTAATTTCTTTTGGCATCGAGATTTTCTTTCTTACTGCTGGGATCTCACATCTGTGCTTGTGCTGTACAGCACAGACAAAGAGGACCAGAGACTGCTGGCCATCCTGTGATCTTTGCTTCAGGGAGGCAGCATGCTGGGATTAAAGATGGGCCAGATCTGACCTCAGATCACACAGACATTTCTCTGGCTCCCACAGCTGACCATCTCCTGTCCCAGCAGCACCTCTTTCTGGGGAGATGGGTTCAGGTCTCAGCTATGCATCTCAAGCCCTGAGGCAGCCAGAATCCCTCTTTCCTGCACAGACCCCAGTCCATCCCAGGGAGATCATGGGGGGCACTGCACAGCAGCAAGGATGAGCTGGGAAGCTGCAGGGATCCCCAAGGAGCCTGACAGCCTCACTGAACATGTTCCAGTCATCCAGAGAGGAATCCCACTGCCTTTGGGAAGCAGCCAACCCCTGGAGCAGGCTTCTCCTTCCAGACCACAAACAATCCCACCTGCCAAGAATGGGGCAGCCCAGCTCCTACCTTGGTGGAGAGTAGCCGTGTCAGGTAGATCTCTGGGAGAACCTTCTTCCTATGGCTCTGCCTGTGGGACTTCTTATGTTCCACTGATTCATCAGTTGGGAGAACCTGGTTCCAGATAAATCACATGGTCAGAGCACTCTGCCCTGGAAGTGTCATACTAAATTTCCCTTTCAGCATAGAATTTCAACTGCATATAAAATTCAATTAAAAAACAGTTATGCTCTATAAACACACCCTTATATGGCTTTAAAAAAGTGATCCATAATACTCAGTTTTTCTGACATTTGTTTCTCCTGTGCTCTTTATTGCCTCTCTCACCCTAGATGATGGAAATGAACCCATCCATCTCCCCTTGCACACTGACCTGCTTGCCCCCCTGGGCTCTCACAGCCCTGTCTGGGCTGCACCTCAGGCTCCCAGCAGCAGTGCACATGGCTTCTGCAGAAACCACCTTTGCTTGGATTTGGAAAAAGCACAGTATGTAGGAATGCTGGCTTTTTCAAAACAAAAATGAATATTCCACTGGTCAGATCAGTGAATTACTCTCTATAATGACAAAACAAGCAACTGGAGTCCATCTTGGCATTGTTTCACATGTGAACATTGGTTTCCCATCCCTTTTCCCTCCTTGCTCTGCACATGTGTGTGTGTGCATGTGTACTTCTGCTTCAGCATGGAAATGCTGCAGAGAGAAAAACCTTCAAACCAGGCTATAAAATATTGTTGCTGTTGTCCATAACACCGTTTTTCATGACAGCTTTTAGCAGCATTTAGCACTTGGCGCTTGCAGCACGGTGCAGCAGCAGGAGCCCACGGAGCTGCCCAGCCTGGGAAGCAGGGGGGATGCCAGGAGCTGCCCACAGGTGACCCAGCTGAGGATGCTGCTGGCACTGACACTGTGCCACGGCACGCTCTGACACCCCCTGAGCTCTCTGCCTGCCAGCAGCTCCATCGGACACAGCAATTTCTCTGCCATCCCCGTAATTCTTTATCGTGTCCCACAGATTATCTACAGATAAAGATTACCTACAGATCACCTTTCTGTGCCTCTTTGAACCCTGCTGAAGAGAACTAATGAGCCCTGATGCAGCTTGTTCCTCACATCTGACACTATAGCCCACAGACATCATTTAAGTTAGTATCAGCAGCCCTCACGTGCAGCCATCACCCCAAAAGGGACACTTACCAAGTGGAAGTACTTCTCAGTGTCCAAATCCTTCACTGTGAAGAACAAGAGAGACACAGTGACTCAGTCAGGGGGGCCCAAACTGAAATCCACCTCCACTGGTGACCTCCATGTCAAGAGGCATCTGAACCCCAAGAACTCCAACACCAGGCTGGCATTCTCAATCACAAGTGATCTCAATGTCTCTCCTTGTTTTAGGGTTGTTTATTGCATTATGGGGCTCGTGACAAGTACCTAGGAAGCTCTTTAAGGGGGACCTGAGGTCTCCCAAGGGATGTTTTAAGAGAGACTCGAGAGGGCATGAGAGCAGGATGAGCACAGGGGCACCCCTGCCCCGTGATGCTCTGCTGTGCCCTGTTGTGCCCCATGCTCCCAGATTATCCTGAACCCCAGCATCAGGGCAGCTCAGTCCCAAGCAGCTCCTTGACACAGCAGGCAAAGCACTCCTAGAGAGCCAGGAGGCAGCCTGGAAACAGGGTTTGAAAATCCTTGTTTAATCTGGATTTCTGTCTCACTTAGTCTGTTTTCACTCCATGCAGCCTGAAACCTAGAAATGCACTGGCAAGGGACTGAATATATGCAACTGTGAGGGAGAGGACTTTTTCAACCAAGTGGTTTCAGATTCTTCTTTTCTCTCACTCTGTCAGCACAGACTGGATGCTGGCTCCCAGTGAGGGTGTGAGATGGAAGGTGCAAACACCTTGAGGGCTGGAGAGCACCCTATGCCCCATGAGGCAGAGGGAGGACACTGGATGACATGTTCAGAGCCACTGCATCCCCAGCACCCAGGAACGGGGGCTGGCAGTGTCTTGCAGCACCTCCAGCCAGCCAGAACCCTCTGACAGTGCAAGCATTCCTAAGAAAGAGATGTTACCTCTGCTCAGCGTGGTGTCCTTCTTGTCTGTCAAACTCATGGCCAGGGATGCCCCTTCAGGGATCTGTGCAGGAAGGGAAGAACACACATTGATGATGGGGGCCTTATCAGTGCCTCCCTGGTCCTGGGGAGATCCCAGGAGCTGGAGGATGCTAGTGCAGTCATGGTTCTGCCACAAACAGCCCCTGAACCTGCCCTGCCCTGCCCTCCATTACGTGGAAAGGCAATTTTCAATACAAGATAGCGAGGTTCTCAAACCCAGTGGGAATTGGGCAAACACATACATCTAAGATACATTTTTGGATGTGGACACCAGGTAATTGGAAAAGGAAGGAGAGTTTGGCTGTGCAGGTGCTGGTTTGCCATTCCCCAGACGGGAGAAGGGGATGGTGGCAGCCCCTGTGCCACGGGGGCACCGTGCCAGCAGCACGGCTGCCACCCCCATAACCATGCTAATGAGCACTCAGCTCCACTTTTGTTTTCCAGGCACAGATACAGACCAGTGGGGATTATGCTTCCAGGCATACCAGGGAATAAGAACATCGTTAAGTATTTCTGGTTTCATTTAATTTTAAACAGAAAAACAGTCAAGAAAACAATCTGATTCACCATGTTTCCTCATATTTTTGGCCTCACTTCCTCCTGGTATCCCCAGCCCCTGCTCTCAGGGCAGGCACTGACAGTTGTAGCTGCGATTTCAGCAGGAGTGCAGATCAAGAGCACTGTTATACTAATCAGCCAGGCTGGTGGCCCTTGGGAATAAGAGCTTTTTCCCCTCCTCTTTCTGTTGTCAGTAATAACTTGTTTTGCATGAAGAGTGTTAATTAGTTTCTGTGTGTTGCAATATTAACGAGATTCTCGCCAGGGCAGATGTCTATTCCCTGGAAGCTCTCAGGGAGCTATGGCAACCCCTCTGCTTGTTGCTGATGATCCCGTTTTTGGAGGGGAGCTGCAGCTCGCCCTGGAGGCCAGGCAGGCTCCGAGGGAGCAGGGGTGACACTCCCCTGGGGTGTCACACTCCCCTGGGGTGTCACACTCCCCTGGGGTGTCACAGCTTTACCTTGTAATGTGCTAATGTGTTGAGTTTCTTCCTGCCATCCTCCACCACCGAGGTGTCATCCAGGTCCCGCAGGATGTAGCTGTCGGTGCTGGTGGCAAACCACTCTGAACACAGAGAGGGCAGAGGTGAGACCCAGCCTGAAGCAGGCAGGGGCCAGGGCTCTGGGCTGAATGGCTGCCCTGGTGTCTGCCCTCCTGCCCTGCTCCCTCACCCACTGCTCTGGCAGACACCACTTCAATGCTTCCCCTGTTTTTCCAGCCTGGCTGGTCCCATGCACCTGCTCCTTACCCAGGTCCACGTCTTCCACCCTTGGCCACTGCGAGTAGGGGACGTTCTTGCAGAAGGCCTCCAGAATTTTCTCTTTCACCTGACTGAGTGTGTCCGTGTCCATGGCTCTGACACTCAGGGAGTCCATCCCACAGCCTTGGAAGGAGACGTTGAGGTTCTGCAGGCAGAGGCTGTGTTAGGGACCAGCTGCCTGGTTCTGCTGGCTCCCAGGAATGCTTGGAAGCTGCAGTGTCTGCACAGCTCTGGCTGGTGTGCCCTGGGCCCGTGCTGATGGAAATCAGGCTGAACTAATGTGGCCATCGATGCTTTACAGCATGAGAAGCTCTGATTTACTGCCCCAGGGGCTGAGGGCTCTGTTGACCAAGCTGGGAGAACACAGGGAGCATCACAGCAGGCCCCTCTCACGCTGTCTTGCTAATGGGGCTTGACCACCACCAGGCAGGAGGAAGGGTCAGCCCCCATTAGCAGCCGTGTCCTCACTTGCTTGGCTCCAACTGGTGACTAATGGGACCACCAAAGATCATTGCTCAGCCTCTGCTTAAAGCACGCTCCACTGCTTAAACCAGCTCTAAGCCTGCTGCAGGATGGGTCTGCTGCAATGCCTGGAGCCCTAGAGAGCTCCTGGGCAGTGGGACAGGCAGCTGTGAGAGCCCACAGGCTGCCACAGACACCTGCTCAGAGACCAGGGAAGCACAGCTACTGCCTCAGTCACAGCCCAAAGCTGCAGGGCAAGGAGAGCAACTCTTTCTAGCAGAAACCCTCTCCTCTTTTCGCCTTCTCCTCTCACCAGCTGTGCAGACCTAACTGCAATGAGCACAGCATCTCCCTCTCACCCAGCTCTGGGGGAGCCCCAGCACCTGGGTACTCACCCTTGGCTTTGCCTCTATGTTCTCCCTCAGCAGCCACTCCTCATTGAGGGTGTACCTGGCCTTCCCTGTGATGGCATCGATGGAACCCTTGTTAATCTGCTGTTTGATGGCACAGATCAGCAGGAAGAAGGGCTCTCCAACTGTCTCCTGGAGAAAGGAAAGAAAACCAAGTCAGCAGACCGGACCTGGTGGTGACAGGTCCATCAGCAGGGCAGCAGGGACAGGCTCTGTGTGGACAGTGAAGGTGCCTCTGTTCCAGGGAGCAGGACTAGTCCAGGTGCTGCAAACACCGGGTGGGGGCTATCACCTCCCAGCTCCCACTTGCCTCTCTCTTAGGCTGCTCAGAAGTTTTCAGACTTGTGGCAACATGACAGAGCAGATGGGGAAGAGGACACAACAGCCAACAACAGCCAACAACATCCACAGGCCGTTTTTGGGGCTGCTGTAACTGTCAGCACCAACACAGCCCATCCAAGTTCTGCAGCAAGCGCTGGAGCTGGGGATTGCACCAGGGGCTGTGCCAGCCTGTGCTGTCTCAGGGGCAGAGCTGGTGCTGCTCAGAAGGCAGGGACATATGCATGGCTGTGCTGAGTGGGGATGTGCACACAAGATACTCGGCAAAATGCAAATGTGCATTAATTTACATGTGAATTACACGGGAACAGGGAGAACCCAGCACAGTGTGCTACAGAGATGCCTACTGACAGGGTGCAGACTGTAAAACACACTGCACTTAGCAGGACAAGACAGGGCTGATGTGCACAAAAATCCAAGAACAGAGGTATTTGGGCACCCAGCTTTCTCATGAACATGTCAGCTGAACCTCTCATTGGGCTGCATGGTTTGCCACTGAACTCTGGGAGTGAGCCCACAGCCTGGGCCTGTGGCTCTGGGAACCAGTGTTCATACTTCTCATACCACAGCAGGGCCCTCATCACAGCAAAACAGAGCATCAGGGTCAACAAGCTGTTCCCATGTGACAGCAAGCAAACACACCATTTAACTCCTTACATTCATCAAACCTAAGTTAATGGGAGAGAGGTGGCACTCCTGTAGCAAGAACAAAAAATACAACAGGGAGCATCTATTTGTGGTGTGATTCAGCTACACAGTTTAATGCCAAATTTCTGATTCACTTCTGCCTGCTGCACTGATGTGCAAGGGAAACTTCAGCTATTTTCTTAAGGAGCTCTTCAGTGTTAGAGTACATCCCATTCTCCCTAATGTTCACGTTCAATTTCCTTCCAGTGAGGCAAGTGCAAATTCTGCACATTTCTGTATTCGGAGCCTCCCCCCGCACACACAGGCCTGTGAGAGACTGAGAGCCTGCTCCAGACAACAGATACCCAGGGTTTTGATATTTGTCAGCTAGGAACTGCTAAATCCTGTTCAATCTGCTTCTTAATTAAAACTTGGTGATTCTTTTATCCTAATTGTCCTATAATTGCTAAAGCAATTAGTTGGATGTCAGTTTGGATGCGCAGCATTTGGTGCGGTTGATGCTGGGGATGCAGCAGGGCTGTCGGTGGGCACAGGCTGGCTGTGCCAGCAGGGCACTCACTTCCTTTGCAAGGGTAACTTCATAAGCACCAGGCAGCTCTCTGGGTCTGCTGCAGGGGTCTCATGATTGCTGCAATGCTCCTATGAGCAGGCAGCACAAAAGGGGCTCAAAGCAGGGCTGGGGGTGCTGGGATGCAGGAAGGCATCACTTCTAGAATGTAGAGAAAGGTGTGGAGTCAAGAAGTGGAGAAGCTGAGGATTGCAAAGAGTGAGGAATGTGCAGAAGACACAAAGAGTTCATTTTGGAGAGAAAGGCAGAAGGAAGATAGAACAAGGGGACAGCACTGACATGGAGACCTCCTGGGGCTGCATTACCACTGCCCTCATACTGCAAACCACAAGGCACCACTGGCTGGCCCTGCACACATCAGTCTCTGACACTGGCCATGCTACCAACAGGAGCCCTGTTTGTGTCACATGGAGCAGGGACAAACCTGAGGTCAAACCCAGGGTCGGGCTCTGGAGCCTGCCCATCCCTGCCATGGGCAGCTCCAGCCAAAGGGAGACTGCAGTGCCTCCAAAAGCATTAAGAAGGGCAAGTCCTACGGCTATGGGAGCCCTTGGGGGTTGAAATGAGCAGGGGTCAGGGCTGGCTGGTGGCACCTCCCTGCTCACACAGGCTGCCCTGGCACTGCGGGGTCACTGCAGGGAGCACGGGCAGGACTTGGGCCAGCCCAGCCCACAGGGGACACAGCCACACTGCTCCACTGCAGAGATGCTATTTCTGTTTGGCTTTTTGGCTTTCAGGCTCAGGAACTCTGGGATGTTATGGAAATCTGCAAAAGTGCTAATCAGACAGCGAATTTCAAAGCAGGGGAAGAAGGGCTGGCAGGCAGGGACTAGAGATAAAATGGCAAACTTGTGAAACCTCCAGCATTGTTCGGAAAACTCATCTGGAAAGGAATCAAAACTGTCTTTGGACTTGGCTGGTTAGGAGAAAGGAAGTTTAACCAGAAGAGATCAGTGCTGATTCAGGACAAAAAAATACTTAAAAAAACACAGTCTGGGGCCTTTTTTTTCCTCCTATTGTGAATGTATTTTAATGAGGCTTCATTTTCATTTTTGACTGAACTCTTACGGGCCCTTAAAGCTACCCAGGGCACTGAAATAACTGCAGTAATGGAAAGCACAGTTCAGGCTGGCAGGACTTGAACTGCTCCACGCACAAGGAGCGTGGGAGGGCTTCATTTTTATATGCCTGGGAAAACAAAAAGGTTTAGAGCACAGACTGGATTCACATGTTGCTGCCCTATTAACACAACTCTGACAAGTTATTATAGATGTCCTCCCAAGAACACACTACAGCCATTTCCAAAATGTTTTGGTGAGCCTAGGGTGGGAACAGCACAGAAAACAGCTGCTTATCCCAAGTGCCTGCTAATTTTGGGACAGTTATCTGTTTGCATTCTGTGAAGAACCAAACCTCCATCCCACACACAAAACTTGGGTAAGCTCGGACCCAGACATAAAAGCCGAATTCCAGAACCCAAGCTTTCCTTTAACTCCCCAGCCCTGTTAGGCGCCAGGCACAATGGCACTGTGGTAGCTCATGGAGAAGGCTTTCTTTTAAAGCTCTCTCTACCAAAACTGTAGCACAATGTAGAGATGTGGGCCATTTCATCTGCGATTCTCAGATTCAGAGCAGAGCTCTGCACTGATTGTGCAAATGCTGAAGTTGCCTCTGAGCCCCCGTGGCTCACAGCAAGCCCCTGCCGGCTCCTCCCAGCCCCTCCCAGGCTGAGCCAGCCCCACCCGTGGACTCCATCCTTCAGGTGCCCTCCACATGTGCAGGCCACGAATGCCTGTGGCCAGCAGCTCCTTCCCAGCTGAAGACAGCTCCTTCAAATCATTTTCCCCCAAAACACAAATGGACGGGCTGTTAGGCAGAGCATTAATGTGAAACAAATGTTTTGAGCATGTAGCGTTGACTTACAAGGGAAAATACAAGCACTTGGAATTTTTCCACTGCACAACGGCGGGGACTTTCTCAGCAGCTGTTTCAAATAGACATTGTGATTAATGGGGATAATTCAGGAATGAAAACCAGGCCCATCATCACATGTCTGACAGAGCAGTGCTACAGGCAGGCGGGCAAGCCTTCTTTTTAACCAAGAAATGCCTCTCCGAAGGCAGCAGAGTTTGATCCTCAGGAATGCAAGGCACATGGGAGGCCTTTGGCTATCACTACTATTTAAATCACAGCCCTGAGCTGACACCAGCCGTGTGGAAGGAGTGCTGTCTGTTCCACCACAGGAGCTCCATCCTCATTTGTGTGGTGGGGAAGATGCCAGCTCTGCTGATCTGGATCAAGCTCCTGTCCCATTGCACAGCTGGGCTTGTGTCACCTGGGACAAATTTCCTCTCCAGACACTCCTATCTGACCAATTCTTTTCCCTTTTTGTATTTCAGGAGCAGCTCAGTGTCTCCTCTGATCCCAGCCTCACTGTGGATGGAGAATGTGAGATATCAGAGTCTCCTGGAAATCATCTTCATTGCTGTTTAGTTTGGAAACCATTTGCTTTCAGAGATGGGGCAGAGGCTGCAGGGATGCTCTGCACTGCCATGGCTTCAGGCTGGACATGGGAGGGGACTGCAAACCCAGTGTGCAGCCTTAGCCCCTGCCAAGAACCTGCTGCAGGTGATGGAAATGCACGTTCAGCCAGCAGCCCAACAGCTCTGCAGAGAACCCAGGCACCTCACAGTCCTGCCCCCAACCATGCCCCATTCTCATCCTCCCTCTGTGGGCCACGAGCTGGGGCAAGCCAGCTCACAGCTCACAGCTCACAGCTCACAGCTCACAGCTCACAGCTCACAGCATCACTGCCCGGCCCTGGGGATGGCCACAGCCCCCCTGGATGGCCACAGCCCCCCCTGGATGGCCACAGGCCCTGCTGGCCCCAGACCAGCCTGCAGGAATGGGCAGCTCCCACGCAGTGCTGTGTGTGGAGCTTCTCACCATTGTGAGCTGTGTAATGTGCTCAAGCCCTCAGGCCCATGTGATAAGGCTCCACTTTCCTCTTTTTCTTTTTTCCCTGAGAAAACCTTCTTGCACAATGTCCATTTTTAGCACAAGCTGGAGCTGGATCAGATGCCTCACATGTGGTCTCCCCTCCCCAAAAGGGAAAATCAGCACTTTTTTTTCTCCAATGGTTAAACTACAGGCACAAAATCTGAAGATTACAAAAGATTCCTCTTTTCTGTCCTTACAGGCTGGGTAGCTGGGCTACATTGGCACAGCCATCCTCATCCACTCCTGCAACTCTTCTTTCATTAGACTGGCTAACTGTGTCAGCTAAAATGAAAGATTATGAACTAAAAAAACACTGGCCTTAGGATAAAAAGTGATCATCTGGGATCAGAAGACATCACAATATATATGAAGACAATATAGAATTGCTTCTGTGGATGTAGAAAACACTTTGGAAAAAGAGATTTTTTCAAAGGCTTTTTCAAGGCTCTTCCCATGGGTAAAATGGGGTATCCTCCAATTAACTGCTGTGGAATCAATTAAGTTATTGCTCAATTCTTCTGGGGAATTCCAAACAGAGCTGGCAAACGCTGGAGATAAAGCACTGAGCAGATGGACTGCTGATGGCTCTGAGATGCCAAACATATTCCTGCTCATTACCAAGAGAAGCCCATCAGCCTTCTGGGACAGACACCCCAGCTCTCCTGCTCAGATTGAGCAGAACCTCGGGGATGCCTGTGCGGGAGAGGCCCCACACAGCAGTGGGCACTGACACAGAGCAGCCCCTGCCCCGTGCCCCCAGCCCTTCTCAGCACCATGGCTCCAGGGACAGACACACTGACTGCTCAGCACGGGCTGGTCACACAGACTGCACACAG